TTGAGTCCTTATCGGAAAAGGTCTTATCCGGTTAGAAGAATGGAGTCTTTTTCTTTTTCTGTTATCCCATTGACTCCAAATTTTTTGAGAAACTTCAATGTGCCTCTTGTAACAGTACACACCAGTTTTCCTACTGACTTTTTGGCCGCTCTGCTCAAAAATTGTGGCAAAACTGATCTCGACCATCTGCGTACCGCAGCCGCTACATTTTCGAGCGGCAGTTCATGTTACAAAAATATTTTATGGAAAACTTTTTCGTATTTTGTGATTAAATCCCTGTAAAACTTCATAAAAAAATTGTGAGTTCCCGGTCTTTATTGACTATTGACTATTGACATATTGACAGCTCCTTCATTTTGTTGCAGTAATAATTCATCTCCCTGTAAATTTTCTTCAGAAATGTTTCGAGCCTCGAAAGGTCCTTTAAATTTTTATTTCACATATTTCCCTTTTTTTAATATAGTTTGTCCAGATTTGGAATGTCAAGCAGCAATCTCCGTCCCAAACAAAGCTCTGTAAGTGGCTCGTTCTATAATTGGTTTGATCTACACATAAGAGGCGGAGTTCGACCGATGACTTGACATTCAAATTCTGAACAAACTATAAACGCCGACTGTGGCATTCAAATTCTGAACAAACTATAAACGCCGACTGTTCGGAAAAATAACATTCCAAAATTAAAAAAACACATTATCAAGTGAAAGGTAAATCAGTGTGACCAGTTTAGTGACCGCCTGGTATTACTATTGAAAAAAAGATGAATGCTTGAAAAAAATCAGTTATATCAACTTCAAATAATCCGAAAGGACAAAATTTGATAACCGCGCGCATTTTCCTGATGTTAGAAAGAGAGCGCAATTTCCTGTACAAAATTTGAAAAAAGAGTGCGCATTTTCCTTACGTGCGCACGAGAAAAGAGTGCGCACAGCGCGCACTTTCCAGCATGCCCAACTATTCCACAGTGTTCCAAAAGAGACGGCGGCAAGCGAAAAAAAAGGTCGTCGCAATCGGGCGAATACGCGAGTTTTTTCTAACGCAACGCGGTGCGGCGCGTGTCACCCCCACAAAATTTCATTCACTTTTAATACGGTTTTTTCTCTTTTTCTTGCGTATTTTACCATTCTTTCGTATTTATTCACATCGTATGTGTCCTTAAAACGTGTTTATCGCGTTTTCCAGAGATTTGAAGTGATTTTCGATTGTTCTCGTCACAGAAATTCGCATTAAAATGACATTTTTGATGACAACTTATTTCGCATAAGATATTTCGTTTGTTTTTTGTTTTCGAATTTTCAAGTGGACTTTCTTAAGAGTAACGCTGTGTTTCTCAAAATTTTTTTTTCGAGGCAGTATTCGACGAATTTATTCTTGAAAATGTCATTTTGGGTGACAACTTAATTCGCACAAGCTATTATGTATCTGTTTTTGTTTTAAAAAAAGTTCAAATGGTATTTCTTAAGAGAAGTGCTTTGAGCTTTCTCTCAATTTTCCCTTTGGAAGTTCGATTTGAGTTTTCCTAAAAAACGACATTTTGGGAGATATTTTGATTTGCAAAAACTTTTTCGTCTCTTTTTTCATTTAAATTCGTTCGCTATAATTTCATACACATTAAAAATCTTTGAAAACTTGCGAGAACCTAGGAAAAACATCATTTAATGGTCTTTTTCCAACCACTAAATCCACAAAACTTGACTCTCATCCCCGCGCCCCTATTGCAATAAACCGTGCCGCTGTTGCAGTCAGCCACGCCTACTGGCCACAGCTGCCGCCCGTTTGGGAACACTGTGTATTCTCTCAATTCCAATATCAAAGTATCTCAGCTTCAATCGACATTCAACAAGTTAGAGAGACTCTTATCTGTGTCGGGGCTGATAGCCTGGCCCTTGCGAAAGAGGCTTGAAGCTCCTCGATACGTTGAATTCCACCAAAGTTTAGTCAAAGGTTACGAAAGTCCATTATGATCTCAATTGGCTAAGAAATTCAAATTTCACTGGTTATTTTTTTGTTTGAAAAAAATTTTTCACGTTACTATTTAAAAAAATTTTCTCTGGTGACTTTATTTGATAGTTTTGGTTTAATTCCCCAGGGTTTTTCGCTTGTTAATGATAAATAAAAAAATCTTCGTTTTTCGAAATTCTCACTTCCGCGCAACCCTGGCGGCTAACTATTGCCCGTACATCAGGCTTGTGCAAGGGCCGGCCCGTCAACCTCTCGGCCCTTCGACCACTTCCCAAACCCGGTCCGACCCTAGGGAGGCCTTAAGCAAAAATGGCCGGCCCGGATCAAAAAACTCAAATTCTCTTGGAGTCGAATTTTTCGTTTTTTTACCGAGAAAAGTGGTATTTTGCTTATTTTTTCTCATAGAGTTATTAGAAACTATGATTCAACAAGTAAAAATCATTTTTCCGTGAAATTGCTCAAAATGAAATTTAAGATTTCTTTCGAAGCACTGCCTGGCCCGAGCGTATGCGGGCTGTTTTAAAATTGTAAGCCCAAAGCCCGGGCTAGGCCGGCCCGGCCTGACGTACAAGCCTGCCGTACATTACCCGTGGGTGTTTGAGGCAATTTTTCCCGACTGGAAAGGCGCGGGGCAGGGGGTGTCGACACCGACTCAAAGGTTGTCGCCTCCCCGCCAATCAGAAGATGACGTGACTGGCTCGCCAGGGGAAAGGTTCCATTAGGAGCCATTCATTTACCTGTCTAGCCAGCCACGTCGTTCGCCCCCATCTATTGTTGATTTGATCTAATTGCTTTATCATACTAATTTTGTACGCGGAATATTTATTATAAAGGTTTAATTACCCAAGTTTGAGGTTGAAAGGGACGTGCTGCGAGCCACTCAACACTCATCCAAAGAAGACCCGCGTGGCAGGCTAGAAGTCGCCCACCAGGGAGCGGCAACGAAAAGAGTCAGTTTCTACATTTTTCTCGAACTCAAGAGAATTTCAGTATGCATCCATTTTGACTCTTTTTATTTTTTTTTACTTATCTAGCTATAGTCTGTTGAGATTTTGAATGTCACGTCGTCGCTCAGGCTCCACCCCTAATGGCGCGATAAACCAATCAGAGAGCGAGCCATTCACAGAGTGTTTTTGATGGACGTCATTGCACTTGACATTAAAATTTGAACAGACTGTACGTCACAAACCATTCATTCTCACGTAGCGTGTGCGTACGCGGTTCTTGGCACGAGTTCAATTCATGCGCAGCTTAGTGAGAAAAGAAAATCTTATTAATTGTGCCTTTGATCCTTGTTGGGGTGCTTCAAATCGTGTTTTATATTGCAGTAACGTCCTTTTCATGGTAGAAATCATGGTGGAGACCTGTTAAAAATTCGTTTCGAAAGCAAAAAGCCGTGATATTGTTTCGTTTGGTTGTGATGAGGTGCTTTGAGACAACTTTTTGACCTTTCCGTATCTGCAAGCTCTAGAAAACACATGAAAAAAGGTACATCCATGAAAACGGAAACTGGAAATTCTCGGAAAATGCACCTTGAAGTGGAAAATTTTGAAAAAGACGAAAAAAATTTCATTTTTTTTTCGAAGGCAAAATGAATTTTTTCAATGATATGTACACAGAAAAACTTCTAGGAAAACGACCTACAATTTCCAGTGGAACAACTGAGTTTATGAATTTTTTTCATTTTTGCTCGGTTTTGAGGTCGTCAGCTTCGGCGCTTTGGTGGTCAACTGCACCACTTGAAACTAGAAGACGGGAATATTTTTTCTGAGCTAAGCAAGACCTAATTGATCATTTTATCAAATAAAATTCCAGGCCTTCTAGGGTCTTCTTCTCAGCAGAGCTGAAAAGCGGAAAAGCTGGGTAAAAAACGCAAAAGCCCAAAAATCAAGTTTCCCCTTTGCACTTTCTACTGTCCTTAGTTGAAAACAAGTTGGTTGTAGTACATCAAGAGCAAAAACCTGACTGAAATCAAACTCTCAAAGAAGTTATGGATTTCTGAAGTTTTGGCCAATTTCAAGTTGGACGCGTTCTTTGAGATGGTGATGTACTACGACACTTAAAACTTGAATATTGGGATCTTTTTTTCGAACACCCAAGACCTCAATACATAGATTAAGATAATAAAAATCGGGAATACGACATTTCACATAATGCCATTTCACATAATGACAATTCACATAATGCCATTTCCCATAATGCGACATTTCACATAATGTCATTTCACATAATATGAAATTTCCCATAATGACAGTTCACATAATGGCATCACACATAATGCGACTTTTCACATAATGAAATTTCACATAATGTGACTTTTCACATAATATAAAGTTTCACATAATGCTCTTTTTTTTGCCAACAAGATTAACATAATTCTTGATTTACTTGAACGATGGGGACGTTACAGTTGGGCAAATTTTTTTTCGGTCTTTTTTTATAAAGTTATAATTGAATACTCTTCGATATTTAGTATGGATATATATACATTTTTGCTTATGAATTTTGCTTGAAAAGTTATTATTTACAAAAAGCCTAAATGAGTGAGTTGGTAAATATATAGAGGTCACACATCGTGCTCTCCTCGTCATCGCACATTTTTTTTCGCTCCTGAGGGTTGAAGGAAACGTCTCGATACTGACGACGTTGATACCGGCTTCTGCCCAGGTCACACATCATGCTCTTATCGTCCTCGCACATTTTCTTCGCGCCTAAGGGGTGAAGGAGTCGTTTCAATACTGACGACGTTGATACCTGCTTCTGCCCAGGTCACACATCATGCTCTTATCGTCCTCGCACATTTTCTTCGCGCCTAAGGGGTGAAGGAGTCGTCTCAATATTTGCGAAGTGTATACCAGTTCTTCTCTGTTGTTATAGTGTTTTCTGACGCTCCGCCCATATCCCTATATAAAGGCTGCTAGATTTTCCACTCAATCTTTGTCTTTCTCTCGATCAGCGTTGTCGTCACTAGTTTTAGGTTTCAGTTTTTCGTCAATTTTTCGTTTTTGTTTTCGTGTTTGGCTCATTTTTGCGTTTCTCCAATGGCTCATCCAACTTTGAAAGTGTACGATTCGTCCAGGGCAGGTGGTAGAGTAGGGTTCGGTAAGATTTTAGAATTAGAGGGGGCGGTTTTTCACATTGGTCGCATACACAAGGTAGACGAGGAAACTCGGTACTACTGGCAGTGTTCGTTCCGTAATCCTCGATGTAACGCTCGCGTCATTACCTTCGTGTCTTCTACGGGCGAACACGTCGTTCGGAAATACTCCAACCTGCACTGCCACACCGTCACCGGAGCTGCCGCGGATGTTCGCCGTACGAAGAGTGTTCTCAAAAGCCTCGCTTCGAGTTCAACTAAGTCCACGTCCGAAGTCATAGACATTGTCCGCTCCTCTATCCCAGCGCCTGTTCAGGCTATGCTCCCGTCGAAGGCATCACTCCGTCGAAACGTTCAGCGAGCAAGAAAAGCGAGCCATTCTCTTCCAGCAGAACCCCAAAATCTACTTGAAATTGAGATTCCGGAAGAATTCCAGCACATCATGTGTCGGGATATCAATGGAGGCCCAGATACCAAGTCTGGTTTTGTCTTTGTCGATACTGGGGTCGCTGCGGGAGACAATCGCATATTGGGCTTCAGTAGTGAAAGTCTTCTTGACTGTCTTCGAGGATCACGGCACTGGTTGATGGACGGCACTTTTCAAGCTTCGCCCAAAATTTTCTACCAACTTTTCGTCGTTCACGCTCAATGGTCAGGAACGCACACCTCGGTCCCCTGCTTCTTTTTCCTCCTTCCAAACAAGACTGAGCTTACGTACACCTACGCCTTGTCTGAACTGAAATCCCTCCTCGGTGTCTCGCCAGATTCAGTCATGGTTGACTTCGAAAAAGGACTTCACAATGCTCTTGAGGATGTCTTTCCAGGGGTAGAAGTGTCGGGTTGTTTCTTTCATTTGTCGCAGTCCATTCGTAAGAAGACAGGAGATTTGGGGCTCATCTCACAGGTGAGAGACGACGTCGAATTGCGGCAACTTTGCGCGATGATCCGATCGATTGCCTTCCTTCCGATCAGCGATGTTCCGGATGGGTTCGCCTACGTGAAAGCCAAAGTCGAAAATCGGGCGCCTGCGCTTCAACCTCTTCTTGAGTACTTCGAGAATATCTACATAGGTGAACCGACTCGAGGACGTCGTCGTTGTCCTTTGTTCAGACCGGAGGTGTGGAACGTGAACCAGAGAACTCTTCTTGGCCATCCGCGAACCAACAACAGCGTTGAGGGCTCTCACAATCGTCTTAAGTCGTTCCTGAACGTGAACAAGCCAGGCTTCTTTGTTCTTCTCCACAAGCTGCAATCCTACTTGCAATCAATCGAAGCGGATCTGATAGATTTGAAACAAGCCAAAACTCTGGGCAAGGTGAGCGTAACATGGCAAACATTAGAAAACAAAAAAAAAGCGGCCCTCGAACTTTATGACATTGACAAAGATTTGCCGCAGCTTATGACAGTCCTAGCCACTTATTTAGGCTTTTTGTAAATAATGATTTTCCAATAAAAATGCATAAGCAAATATTTATGTAAATATTTCTATGAGTATTTGAAAAAACGAAAAAAATTTTTTCCTTCATCTTCATTTTTATAAAAAATAAAGATATTAAATCAAAATTTAACCTTAATACATAATCCGAGCCACTTCTTTAGGCTTTTTGAAAATAATAACTTGCATAAGCAAAAATGTATATAGATATTTCAAAGAGTATTTAATTAATATTTACTAAAAAAAAAACAAAAAAAAATGCTTTGCCCCACCTGTAACGTCCCCGTCGTGCAAAGCGGAAACGGATGAAAAGTCCGGCTAATGACAGGTCTGATAATAGAAAAAAAAATAATAAATACATGAAAAATTATGAGAACCCTCTAGGCAAAAGCATAAAAAGCATTATGTGAAAAGTCGCTTTATGTGAAACGTTATTATGTGAAAAGTCGCATTATGTGAATCGTCATTATGTGAAGAGTCGTATTATGTTAACTGTCGGGTTATGTGAAATGTCATTATGTGAATTGTCGTATTATGTGAAATGTCATTATGTGAAATGGCATTATGTAAATTGTCATTATGTGAAATGGCATTATGTGAAATGTCGTACATTCCAAATTGAATTGAAAAAGATTCGTCGGAAAGGTGGCCGTCGGAAAGTTCCCTAGCGATATGAAAAAATCGGAAAAGTCGTCGTTTAAATTTTCGCTGGTGTTTTTTTCATACCACCAAAAAAGGAAGTTTGAAATTCTCCTCCGAAGACTTTTGCAATATAATATAGTGGCTGGCAAGGAACATCAAAAGACCTTCAATCAGATGCTTCCAAGCTTCTTTCTCTCATTTCGAAGTAGAAGTTCGACCCAACAAATTTTTCTCAGACCGTTGAACAAGGTTTCTTCTAAGCTGTTTATTAAAAATTAAAATAAATGAAGATGGGGGAAAAAACTGCGGTGGAGTGGATTGAAAAGCCGTTGCTTTTTTTGGTCATAACCTTTTTTTCTTCACTTGGACAATTCCTGAAAGTATTCAATACTTCTCTCAATGTGAAGGGATTCAACTCACCTCGATACGAAAAACCACGGGACCCACAGATGAAGACGAAAATGCCTCCTCTGTAAATTCCGCCGATTACAGTGAAAAAAATTTCAAAAAATGGAAGAACCGAAATAACTAGAGTTTCGCAATAATCCATCTTTTTACTAATTTCTGAGATTCTTCATATATGCATCTTGATTTTTAGCATAAATAACAAAAAGAAAAATGCTTTTTTTCGCTTTCCAATCGAGATGTAGCGAAATGAGTAATATCTAATTGCTAACTAAGAAGAAGAAAATATCTTTTTGGGTTCAATTCAGGACTCTATAATGCAGCTCTGAGCTATGTTTCAGATAACTATCAGAATTTCCGTCTTCACTGTCATTGTGAAGTTGATTCAAGATCGATCACCTCTGAGCCTTTCAACTCACAAGACTACCAATGAGCCAAATAAATGTTCTAAGGGGTCACTTAAGTATTTGGTGCTTAAAAACAAGCTGAGAGCTGAGTCGTTTAGGCAAGAAGTAGCAAAGTGGCGTCTTTAGGGAACATTCGAGTATCTCAAACCACACAAAGATGCTTTCATGGAAGATTCAAAGTGTCCCTTTAACAAGAATGACTTTTTAACTTCGCTACTTCATGTCCTGCCCCTTTGGGTTCACAAGAAAATAGTTGAAGTAATACCTGCGGCTCTTCTTTCGATCGCCTTCTTCCCACGAGACGGGTGGCCTTTTTCCAAGACGTTCTTCATTCGCTTGAGATAGAAGATAGGAATAAACTGTTCGTGGACTCAACTCGTCGCGTTGAATTTTTCTCCCACTCGTCATTTTCTTAAACTTTGGGATCTCGGTTGTTCTCAAGTTCAATTTTTCTTTTTCTACTCCGCAATGATAAAATGATTCAGACTACTTCGGAACTGTAGAAAGGCGCATTGTCGACAATTCTAATCACATGAGACTATTAAACCCCAAATTTAAAAAGGTTTTAGGATAGAAATCTGAAAAGTAAACCCATTAAATAGCTGCGAAAACTGAAGCCAAAAAGTTCGAGATTACGTATAAATCAAAATCTACGAGGATTCGATAGAGCACACTGCCAACAACTGGTAGATGTATTTCTATTTGAAAAAATTTTCAAATTCAATTTTTTGTTATATTGTGAAGTAATGCCCCTGGCAGAGGCCGGAGACGCAGGAGAAGACCGCCCCCTACCTGTACAAGGCAGGGACGACTTTCAACTGGGTCGAAATCCTCCCGGCCTGAGGTCAATTTGATTATATAATATTTTCTATTCGACTAAAGAAGTTATTTCAATATAATCAGTCTATATTCGACCACATCGAAACTACCGATGGGGTCCCGGCATGGCCAAGCCGAGGACTCACAATATTTTAATAGCTATACACTTTTTCCATGGATGATCAAGAAAATTCGTGATATCTGAAAGCACACACGTCGGGTCCGCTAATCCGAATTTTCTGAGCTAAAATTTTTTTTCGGTATTCCTAATGGAGTATAGTCTGTTCAGACTTTTAATGTCAAGTGCAATGACGTCATTCAAAAACGCTCTGTGGATGGCTCGCTCTCTGATTGGTTTATCGCACCATTATGGGCGGAGCTTGAGCGACGACTTGACATTCAAAAACCTGAACAGACTATATGAGGATCGTGAATAACGGCGAAGTATTCCAAAAATTTTCGAAGCTTTTTGATGACTTTAGTGAGGATTCTACCTGACAATTGAGTTCGCTACTAGGTTTTTTTCTCTTTTTCAACCGTTTCGAGACCTTATTAGCCTACTCCGAAAAAAGACCTGACTTTCTTAAAATATCTTCTAATTTTTAAACGGTTTGTTGCTGTTTTCAATGTTTAACTTTCCCTTTTTGAAAATTGGTTCTGTTAGAGGTCTTTTCGGCCCTTGAACTGTATTATTATTCGTATTGAATAAATGATGATGATGATGATGATGATGAGACAACCACCCGGTAGAACACGTCAGTTTGCCTGGTAGAAAACGCCAATTTCAGGAGGAATAGCCATAGTATCCAGGTAACATAGAGATAGTATTCGAGAAGAGTACAACCCTTGAAGTATCTACCCAGTAGCTCTCAAAAATCGAGAATTTAGGGAGGAAGTAATTTTGATAATGCCCGAAAAATTTTCCCAAAAAAAATCAAAGCTTGAAAAAGTGAAAAAATTTATCTATTAAAAAAGGTTTGAAAGAGATTAAGAAGAAAATTCCCGATCCCATCTTCTAGGCCGTCTTCGCTTTGTTTTTCCTTCGAATGGTTGTCCTTCAAACTCTTATCCTTCGAGTCTTCTCCCGTTTTCGAAGCGCATGTCTGGAAAATGATCTCATTTAGTCAAATGTCGTCAAACAAACGTATGATCCACTAGATAAAGAATTAAAGATTGAAAGACAAAAATAGAGTGTTGAAATCTGATACTTGTCATTTATTCGAGTCTTGGACTGCGGAATTTGTTGTTTATTTCAATGAATGTCGGAGTGTCACGAAAGAGGAAACACGAACTGTAGAAGTAGTTGAGACCTTCGGCGTGCAGGAGATTCGCCATCGGTGCGTCTTCGGTCACCAACAGCATCAGAAAAAGCTTCTTTTTGGCTTCAACAGAAGCTCGCGACTTTTCGAGTCCACAACAGGCGACTGAAAATGAATCATCAAAACTGAAAGATTTTACAATTTGAAATTGGACGGTTTTTTTTTACACCGTTCCAAGCCTTCCAGGGTCTTATTGGATGAAGCTGAAACAAAAAATAACGACCCGGGAAGCAATTCCAGACTTTTCGAAAGAAATCGCGAATGTCATGTAGCTACCCGGTAGCTACTGCATCGACCTCCGACCCAGGTACCATAGAGATAGAACCCGGTAGCATACAAACGACCACCGATTACCATACGCCGATTGACTTATTCAAAAGTTGCTACCCGGTATCAATTTGTATAGACTTCTCAATTCACCTTTGTATTTTGAAAATGCATCAACGCCGAAAAGCGAATGTGCCTAATTGAAAACTATTTCGTTCATGGACATAATTGCATTTTTGTGTTCAGATTTGGAATGTCGAGCCCAATGACGTCATTCAAAGTTCCTTGTGGCCCTCGGATTGGCTCATCGCAGCATTAAGGGCGGAGCTTTAGGGAAATCTCGACATTAAAAATATGAGCAGACTGTTGAAGCACCACAAAAGGATCACCGAAATCCTCACCTTCCGAAGAATGCGGGCGACAGGAAAAGGCCATCGCTAGAAACTGACTCTCTTGGGAGCGTCGACCACGTTATTTTTCCCACGTTTTTCTTTTTTCTCCTGTAAGTTCATTTCAAAGTTCATTGTGCAATGTCGCCTTCGATGTGAAATTAAAATAAAATTGATTGAAAGAGAAGAGGGAAAAAATTAACTTGAGATCGAAGTCCTTACGAAAATCGTTCATATATTTTTGTCTCAAAATTTTCTTCTGACGTTTTCGGAGCGGTCGGATCTGCGCAGCGTGTGCCCTAAAATATGTAGAAGGATGGAATCACAAAACGAAAAGATCAAACTCACTCAAAGCTGTCTTAGCAGCGTCGCGAAGGGACTCTCTTGGCGTTTGTCGTAATTTCGTGCACGCTGGAAAAATAATGAATTTCGTCTATAGTATTTCAAAAAAAAGGATCACGAACTTTTGTACCAGTAGTAGTAGTTGAGCCCTTTGACGTGCAAGAGGCTCAACATCTCTGCGTGTTCGGTCTCCAACAGCTCCAGAAGCCGCTTCTCGTTTGCGTTGGCAGCAGCGCGCAACCTTTTGAGATGGTCGTAGGCAACGGAAAAAGGACTCGTCAGAACTGAAAGGCTCAACTCGAACACGGCTACCACCCCTTTCAAAGAACTTCTCGACTCGCTCAGAAAAGGAGAGCTGTTTTCCAACGTTTCCCTTCCGTCTACTGTGATCCAAATCTCTTCCACTTATTTCATTCCTAATATCAGTGAATTCACTCGTAGGGACTTATTAAACCCTTTATGCTAAAAGCAAAAAAAAAATGGATGAGAGATTCAATTGTTCAATCAGTTGATAAAGATCCCCTATATGAAGAGGATCGATCAAACTACTCAGCACGGATGCCGCACGGTGCATTCTGCTTTTTTGCACTCTGGTGCGTAATTGAGGTCTGCACCGTGCGATTTTGGTGGCTTTTTGGTGCAAAGGTGTCAAATCAGTGCTTTTAGCGTGCTGCACCAGTGCGACACCAAAAAAGCACCAAAACTGCACGACGCAGACTCCAGTTTCGCACCAGAGTGCAAAAAAGCAGAATGCACCGTGCGCCATCTTTGCCGAGTAGAGACCCAAACAATATGAAATCCTTACCCATCGTTTGAAGCTGGCGATCCTCGGCCCGCTTTCGTAAAAACTGACTTTTTTGAGAACGTCGATCTCGTTATTTTTCTGAAGTCCATCTTTTTTCTAATGTAAGTTCAACTAAAAATTTCATTGAAAAAAACGTCATTTTTTTGATGTCCGAGTGAGATAAAAATTGATTGAAAGAGAGATAAGAGTTTACGAGAAAGCTTTTTCGAAAAATCGAAATGTTTTGTTTTTTTAGCGTTCAATGCATTTTTCGAATAAAAAAATGTATTCGGAAGTAAGTCAACTAAACTTGATGAAACAGGAAAAAAATCTGGGAAGAAAAATACTAGATATGACTTTTTCGCAAGCTCAAAGTCTTTATAAATCCATGAAGGGTACTTTTTCTGATCGACATTATTTTTTTATACACTGATTTTCAAAAAAATACTTTTTCTGTGTGTGTCTATTCAAGTTCCACTATCCGCATTATTCAGAAATCTTTGAACGTAGCAGCTTTGCTTGAAGCAGGAAATTCTCAAGAGCTTGCCGTGGATATTTTTCTCCGATCTTTTTTTCAATTATTGCAATCAAAAACTTTGAAAAATAAATGACAAGTTCTTGCTGGGCTATTTAGGGCGCAGAGGTTTCACATGAGCCGAATTAACACTGAAAAGCCTCCGTGAAAACGTTTCTACCCTTATTGGAAGATTTCAGCAACAGAGATTGAACAGATCATACGAAAATGATTGAAACTTCGGCAAGAAGAAACTCCGAAGAAATTCTTCGAATAAACTACATATAGACGATTCACGGCTAGCTTGGGACGCAAAAAGGCGTGGCCTATCTGCACTCTCCACGTAGTGTACAGCAGTTGGATTGTACCAAGAACATAAGAGAAATAATGAAATGTTATTCGAAAACTACAAACCTCAACATTGCAAACTTCCATATATCATGTTCACCACTCCATGAGAATCTTATTTGTTGAACTCTCTCTTCATTAGATCTGAAAAATTCAGTATTACAGCTAGTACAAAGAATATCGAACTCACTTTTTTGTAATTTCTGGAGTTAATTTTTAAGAAAAATAATCAAAAAAACGTCTTCGCTAGGAAGAAAAACAAAATAATTACCTTTCTCAAAGTATAATAGGATAAACCAATACGTCGAATCTCTCGAAAAAGATACGTTTCGACGCGTCGCATACAAATATGAAGTCAACTAAAAACGATGATGATAAAATTTCATTTATAAAAAACCAGAAAAAAATATATATAAAAAGAAAACATAATTTAGGAAAAATAGAAAAACATAGACGAAACAGTTTCGGAATTACTGTAAATGAGTTTGTGAGCTCTTAAGCAGCCCTCCCGTAGCGCAAGCTTGCGCCCTGTATTGCGCGAGGTTCGCGCAAACTTTAGCGCTGGGTTTTTCTTGGCGCAAGCCTGCGGAACTTAAATCTCTCGGCGCAAAGTCGCGCCAGACGGGGGAGGCAGTCCTTGCCGTGTTCAAAGTTTTTCCGCGCATATTTGTGCAGGTTTTCACTTTTTTTTCTCTCTCCTTTACAAGAATGATGCGATACAAAGTGGTTTTGAGGATTGAAGCAGCTGGAGATTTCTCGTAACCGACCAACGTGACGAAATGGACGGGATCAACTTCTAAAAGAGTGCGTTTTTTTACTTTTTATTTCCCCTTTTTCCATTATTCATTTATACATTCGTGGACTGAAGGATCTCATTGAAACCATTTTGAGTTTGTGGTGGGCGAACGTCTATTTGGCTAGGCGTAGGCGTTTCCTGTATTCCATCTGTCGGCTCACCATAACTTGCTTTATCGTGTTTTTTTTTAAAATCAGAATCCGGCAATCCAGAAGCGGAATTCTTGAATGAAGATATCTAAAATAGTTTTTAAGCAAAAACAGACATCAGCAAACTAGAAATTAGAAAGTCTACTTAGAGAGCGTCAGATACAACTTTTTATTCGGTAATGTAGGAACATGAATATTTTTAAAGCAATAGACAGTAAATTAGGTGTTGAGAAAGGAAAGGAAACAAGTGAGATCTGTTACGCAAATTTGCTGTTTTGGTCAGTTTCGAAAAAAAAAATCTGCTTACTGCCAGCATCTTTTATTGGGGATGCTAAGGCAATACTTTTTGAGCATAAGAGGAATCACAGTCGCCGTAGCGATAACGTCCTCCAAAAGAATGACTACGAGGCGTGTTTGTGTCGATTTTAACACTCCACAGAAAGTCCGATCACCGAGGAAATATCTATCCAACACAGACTTCAAAATGTACGTGTTTCGGTCGCTGTTGGTGTTCAGATATGAGTACAGCTTGTCGTGACCACTTTCCCAATCGAACTCGCTGATCGAGAGCATTATTTTCCCGTTCATCAGATTTAGGGCGATCGTCTCGATACGGCCAAACGTTACGGTTCCGTTAGAGTAGAATGACACGACGTCTTGTTGCGTTGTCTCTGGCTCTCCCCAATATAAGTGACTGGCAAGGGTCATGCCGCGTGTGTAAACTCTCGGACTGAATTTACAAAAGATTATAAATTTCGTCTTTCAAATTACTATATGACTATGCTGCGTTCGCTTCCGATGTTTTGCAGCAAAGCATGGTAGGAAGGATAGGCATAGGCGTTTGGTAGCGGGTGTCGTGCTGGTTGTGGATCAGCTTTGGTGATAGGCTTTGCTCCACGTTTCCTATAACAATTTTCTCTTTTTGCCATTCATTTCACTCCATTTCTTTTATTAACTCTATTATCTCATATAGCCAGTTCACGGCTGGCTTGGGACAGCGAACGGGCGGTTTAACTTGCGCGGCGATGGTAGATCATGGCAGCCATGCGTGCGCCTTTAAAAAAATCCTCACTTGATGAATTATTTCTGTTTCTATTGAATTTACTTTTTCGTTTACTATAATTTCATTAGTTTAGAGGTTTTCTTTTGATCAACGAAATACAAATTAAAAAAATAAATGAATCATTAATCCAGCCTTTTTTGGAAGGCGCATTGATAGTCGCCATGATCTACCTTCGCCGCGAAAAATAAACCGCCCGTTCGCTGTCCCTAGAGAATCGTTAAATGCTCTTTCAACATATTTCCCACCGACTTCTTTGCCGGCGTTCGTATAAACGTCGAAGCCCGCGTATCGCTGTATCGACGCTCCGGCTTTCCATTTCTGATAGAGAGTGCCGAGATAGTAACAGTCTAAATTATGTTGTTGGATGGGTTCCTTTGGTCTTTTTTAACCTTTCCAGTGCTGACAAATCGAAGTTTCTCGTGTTGTGAGGGTTCAGTTGAATTTTATAATCCATATATGAATGTTCGAATCCGCTGCTGTCAAGATCGATAACGTTGCCGCACTGGCGAAGCTGGGTCGGTAAATGAGCAAAGAAAGCCTAAAAAATTGCTTAGGTCAGTAGGATTTCTTTTCCACATACATGCGTTTTTATTGTCGTGGTTTCCGGGCTGAACACTGCTTCCCACATCGATCCAAGAGATTCAATCGCATAGGCCATTTCACACAATTCCTTTTTGCCGAGTCCCTCACTATAAAGTGCTCGCAATATGCAGCTAATGGCCAACGTGTAGGAAGCCGTTATTTCATCATCAATGTACTTCTCGAGACATATGATCGGTAGAACCAAATGCGAAGCCTACAGTACGAGAACTGAAAATTTTTTTCCCAATCTTTCAGACCATCAACAGCTCTTTTGCTGACATCACAGCTGTGTTGGTCAAAGATATTAGTCGAGCGCTTATATACAGTACCGCTCAAAAGTATATTAAGTTTTGGTTTTTTGAGGATATCTCAGCGAGTACTTATCCGATTTATATATAACTTTCAGGGATTATGTAAAATATACTTTGAAACATATATAGTATACAAATACATGTCCGCAATCACTGTGACGCGTTTTAGGCATTTTTTATTGAATTCAATTTTTTTTGTTTTTTATGCTTTTATTTTTATTCATTTTTATTAAATTTTTAGAAGTAATAATGTTGCCATATGTCATGTTTTCAGACATGAGAAGAACCTCTGGGAAAAAAAGATTTGACTGATAACGACAAAAGAGCCATCGTTGTGGGTCGTCAAAAATGGACTGACCATGATGACGTTGGCAGGAATGTTCGGCGTGACAGAGGCGTGCATTTCTCAGTTCCTGAAGCGTTGGAAAGCTCAAGATGGCACTATTAAGAGCCAACGCACTGAAAGACCACGTGTCATTGATCGTAATGGCGATAGAAACATTTTGAAGACGCCTAGAACCAATCCAAGACTCACCGCCCCTGGGTTCAGACGGGAAGTTTTCTCGAATTCGCCATCTCCGCCATCCGTCTCGACCGTGAAACGACGTCTCAATGCTGCTGGAATCATGAGAAGACGTGCAGTGAAAAAACCGCTGATTTCTGAAAAGAATCGAGCCGCCAGGGTGAAGTGGGTCTCAACTGGACCCGTCAAGACTGGAACAAGATTCTGTCGTCCGACGTAAGCAAGTTCCTCCTCTTCGGAAGTGACGGAATTCAGTGAGTTCGTAGACCAATTGGGTCCAGATATCATCCGAAATACCAATTACCCTTTGTGAAACATGGTGGAGGACCGTTTCGACGGACGACAGAATCTTGTTCCAGTCTTGACGGGTCCAGTTGAGATGCTCCTTCGCCCACTTCACCCTGGCGGCTCGATTCTATTCAGAAATCAGCGGTTTCTTCACTGGACGTCTTCCCCTGATTCCAGCAGCATTCAAACGTCGTTTCACGATCGAGACGGATGGCGGTGATGGCGAATTCAAGAAAACTTCCCGTCTGATCGCAGGGGCGGTGAGTCTTGGATTGGTTCTAGGCGTCTTCAAAATGTTTCTATCGCCATTACGATCAATGACACGTGGTCTTTCAGTGCGTTGGCTCTTAATAGTGCCATCTTGAGCTTTCCAACGCTTCAGGAACTGAGAAATGCACGCCTCTGTCACGCCGAACATTCCTGCCAACGTCATCATGGTCAGTCCATTTTGACGACCCACAACGATGGCTCTTTTGTCGTTATCAGTCAAATTCTTTTTTCCAGAGGTTCTTCTTATGTCTGAAAACATGAAAATAAACATATGGCAACATTATTACTTTTAAAAAATTTAATAGAAATAAATAAAAATAAAAGCATAAAAAACAAAAAAAATTGAATTCGAAAAAAAATTCCTAAAACGCGTCGCAGTGACTGCGGACATGTATTTGTATACCGTATATGTTTCAAAGTATATTTTTACATAATCCCTGAAAGTTATATATAAATCGGATGAGTACTCGCTGAGATATCCTCAAAAACCAAAACTTAATATACTTTTGAGCGGTACTGTACGTCGGTAGCTTCGTTTTCCCACTACAAGCTCGAAATTAGCGTGATCTTAATTGATATCAACTACAGTTCGACACTTTTTAAATATAAAAAATTAACTCTAATTGCAATAAGAATGGAATCAGGTTTTTTTAATACATAAACGACTACCCAATTTTCTCGACTTCCTCCAAAAATTTTTCGTGTTTACTCGGAGCCGAGGTCTGAATTTGTTGGTCTGCTCGATATCTGAGTATGATACGAGAAGAATTTTTTTCCACTTTTTCCTCTCACTCCACCTTTGTATATACTTTTTTCAAAAAACCCCTCTGCTATCACATGAAGGGAATCAACAACAGCACGAGCAGGACTAACAAGTCTTTGGAACAGAGCCTTCTCTGCATTTTTTTGAGATCGCTTTTTTTGCATTAATTTTTTTACCTTTGTACTCATTGCTACTGTTCTCACTGCTCATCTTGTGATAGTCGTCCGATTTTTTTCCGTTCCTCTTTCACATGAGTACCTTGGCGCTCCATTCAGCCGTATTCCTTGTATATCGCACCAGTTGCACACACCCGACTCATAGAGCCTTATCCGGTAAGCTGATCTCAAAGCCTAGAAAGATACTTCTCTATTCAATTTGTTTCCTAAACTACCTCAAAGTCGAGAACAGCAAGAGCTATTTTGAAGTGTACTTCATACTGGGCTTCTCCGTTGACGGCAAACACTGGGAACTGTCTAATTTCATCCAGAACGTGGCCACTCAGTTCATTCCATTCTGAAAAATCTTGCGTTTTTGAAATCTGTTTCGTCCTACCCGGTAAACTCGGTTTATGCTGTCCACGATACAACCCTGCTGTCAATAGGTTTCTCGTTAAAAACCTTTTTGAGGCTGGAAGGTCTAGAAGAGCCATAGTGATTGGCCAAACTTGTGACCTCTTCACTCCCTTGCTTTCGTAAGAAAACCCGTCAGTAGTTAGAATAGCACTAAGCCTCACAACTTTTTTTCCAAACTCGTCTTTCGTTTCGCAAAATTCCTAAAGGAAATTTTTTTTTGGTCTCAACATCATTCTCACTGCGAAAGATTTCGATGCTTCATAGCTTCCATCCCCGTCGACAACGCCTTGATGATGATTGTCGTGTACTTTCAATATTGTCGTTAATTCGTCTTTTAAAACTCCCTCCAATTGAGGAATCAGATTGGCTAGCAACACTTTTCCTCTTTCTGAAGACGTGCTCGCTTTTGGTATTTCTCTGAACACAAATGAATTCTTTCTCTTTTCAACTTACTCTCCACAATCAAAATTCACGCATCTCGATCTTTCGCTCATCACGTTTAAGCCGCATCGACAAAAGTTTTTTTCTTTTAATTCAAACCTCAATCGACTAGGTCACTTTTTTTTTCCAAAACCTGTTACTTTCTCAAGAAGTCTACCTTGTACTTCTCGTAATTCTTTCTGAAAATTACGGGTACCTCCGCAATCACCGCGGCGTCCTCAAACATATCGTCCACTTGTGTGCTTGTCATGAAGTTCGAAACTTCTCTTTGCAGTAAATAGACGTATCGATCACTCAAATTTCCTACAGCTGTTCTTTTTATTTACTCATTCATTTCGTTTCTCACTCCTCGATTCTGCTCTCTCTGCTACTAATATTTCTCGTCGTTCTTGACCAGCGTTTTCGTCAAGGTCTACGACTTCCTCTCCTTCGGAGTACTCTTCTTGGCTATCTGGTAGCTCTCGTTCTTGTTCTGCATCGCTTTCCGCCTCTTCGTTTCCCATCATTACGTCTTGCGAATTGACGTCGATTCCCTCTTAAAGAAATTTTACACATTTTAAATACACCTATCCACATAATTATAGAGTCACTTGAAAAAAATTTCAAAAAATTTTGAAGTTTTTTTCCAATTTTTCCCAACACTGTCGGCTTGAATTAATAACTTTCAGTCAAAAAACAAGGTCCATTTGAAGTCAAAGCTTATTTCGGCTCCTATACGCAAAAAATCGATTTATCCTAGCTATTTTCTTAAAACAGGTACATTGAACCAATAAAAATACAAAAATAGTCGATAAATTTTTTTAAAAATATTAAAAAAATCTTCAGGTGGCTCCGCAATCATGAAGAAAACCGCAATTTTACAAAAAAAGGACTTTTTGGTAGCCCCTTTTTAAAAAATGTCAAGTGGCTCTATAACTATGTGGAGGGGTGTAGAGCCCATCCATGGGCGAAGTCCAATAGATCTTAAAAAGGAATTTTGGTAAAAAAAAAACTTTTAAGTAGGGACCGCAGACGAATTTTCAAATAAAATTTTTCAGCATTCAGCTTTGTATGGTTTGATAGCTGTTTCGATTAAAAACTCAGAACCGTTTAGTTTTTCGGAAAAGATTGAGGATGAAAAAAGTTATGACGAAAAATGTGGCGCTTTTTAGTACTGAAATTTTGGTCTTATCCATTTTTGACATTTTTCTCGATTTTTCTTCCAGAACAAGTTTTGATACTGGTCTATTATGATGTAACAAATCATAATAGAGTGCTAAAAAGATGCTAATCAGTTAGTTTGCCGAAAAAGTAGGTATTTTTTTCAGAAAACAAAAAAACTGGCGCTTTCACTCGCGACCTCAAAATGAAAAA